TTATATTTAAGAATTCAAGTTCCGGATTTTTGCTTGAGTTTATTTCTTTGGTTTTAGCATTTTATTATTGCTTCTTGTAAGTGATATGGGTGTTACACAAATGAGAAAAATGAGGAATTTTCGGAGTTAAAAAGGGTTGTAGGTTTGTTTTCTGTTGCTTCACGGGCATGAAGAAATGCTTCCAGAAAACTTTCTACCCATCTCGCTAGCGTAAAGGGTACCTTTCACTGGCATGAAGAAAAGCTGCCAAAAATATCTTCTTATATTTTTTAGCACTAAGATTAACCACTTCAAGGTATCGATTAAGGTTTAGTCTAAAGTTAAATATGCATTTAAAACCCCGAAATATACGTACTAAAATCCGGGTGTTACATTTATCTCCATATTTAGCAACTCTCTCTCTCTCTCTCTCTCTTTCTTTTTTATATTCTCATTTTGTAAATTTACAAATTATTAGTATGTCTACCCGTATAAGAGTATATAAGATCATTTTGGGATCATTTCTGCATAAATCAGTTAACTTCAAACACTCATCTAATCACAATATTTATGGTCGAGTTTTCACATTCTTAAATTAAAAATTCTTCAACTTACGCTCACTTTGGAACCAATTTACTTACCAACAAGAAGTGAATTCCCATCATGTACATATTCATACATACGGTAAGATTCTTGATCATCATAATAGTATAGTAAGATTGTTGGTAAACACTATCATCTATGGCCGGTAAGCATTGACCGGATAAGAGTCGTCACTTTCACTTATCGGGTTAGATTTCGGGTTAGATTCTCAGTCAAGAAAATGAATTGACTTGACTAGTGTGTTTTACCCAGTAAAAAAATACATTTTTAGACGGTTTAGTAAGCAACATCCAAATGCATATATTTAATTGCTCATAATATATTAAATAGTTTAATTTAGAAAATAGAGTAGTGTTTTAATAATATAGTAATTACTTTTAATATATTAATTTATACTATATTATAGAGCATTTGATAAAAACTCTTAAAAACTATTTTTTATGCATGAAACATTGTATATTGATGCATATTACTTAAAAATTCAGGATTACAAGTAAATTATGCATAAGTACAACTTATTAAAGCTTCATGTTTGAATTCGTGTAACTAACTGCGGATAAACATCTCATTTTAAAATCTAAAATATAATTAGGATGATTATCGAGTTCTAACAAAATAATTAATTATTATCTTTATAAGAAAATTATATTATTAATCTAAATATAAATTACTTCGTTATCCTACCTAAATTAAATTACAATAAAAAATTGAATTAAAAATTTACACAAAAAATAGGAATTTTAAATAGTTAATTTAATACTAATATCGATATATTTTTGTCAAATTTTTATGAAAAATAAAAACATTATCCTTTTTTCAAAACTACATAAGACTACTATTATAACATCGATTGAGATAAAAAATAAAATAAAATATTAAAATCAAAATGTATTTCGCTGTATTGTATGAGCACCCTTCTAATTATTTATAAAATAAAAAAACTAGAAATAATGGGTCCAATCTCAATCCATTTTCCATATCATATTTATCGGGGTACGAAATCCATTTTTGTTACATTAAAATAAATAAATTTAAATACAACAAAAGAAAAACATAAAAAATAAATAATGGATATAAGCCAACGAAAACCTAACACGTTGCGTTGCTATTATTTGATAATAATTAAATTAAAGTGATAATAAAAAATAATAATGTACACCTCATCGCCCATCACCTAAACATATAAAACTACACCCTTCATAATTACCATTTATATGAAATATACTTCTAAATAATATATATTTATAAAGGTAACGTTTTTAATAAATTTTAAAAATTAATCTTAATGGTTCATCTAGTCTAATAAATATATGGTTTTATTTTGTAATCTAATCTAAAGTCATGATCATAATAAATGAACTTTATCATCTTCTACATATATCTCAATAATAAATGAAACTTATCACATGTGATAATTCACGTGAGATGACCTAGTGGTAGGGGGGGACCTACTAAGGGCTGAGCGGGGTTCTGTACATCTGCTTACTCGACTGTCGTAAAAGAAGAAAAAAGAGACATTGATGGTGGGCACCCGCTTAATTATTAGTGTGCCATTAGATATTTGTAAGCCAAAAAACGGGATAAATGTGTTGCATCTAGGTGGTCTTAGGTTTGAGTCTTATTTGCACCAAATGTGTAGGGTTGAATTCACGTGAGACTAGTCTGTTTTCATGAGAGCCATGAGACAATTTTTTTGCACTTGAAAATTCACAGCAAAACTCTGTGAAGGTAAAAAAAAAAAGTCGAATCTTCACAACATTTTGCTATGAAGTTTCAAGTGTAAAAAAGTGGTCTCACAGGTTTCACGAAAACAGACTGGTCTTACATGATCCTAAATCTCTCTCTCTCCCTCTCTCTCTCTCTCTCTCTCTCTCTCTATATATATATATATATGTATATATATAAGCTATGATTTATACTTGCTCTCTCCCTGAAGTGGATGTGGAAAAGCGGGCAGAGGAATCGGTTTTGGGGGAACCTCGGGCATTGGGTGTTCGAATATTTGCCTATGAGTGATGTTATTTTACTTAATATCCCAAGTTAGGAGTGCTTCTGATATATGGCTTTTTAACCAGTCTTAGACTATTCCTTGAGAAAGTGATGCTTTTCCCAGCTTCCCCTCCAGCAAAAAAATTAGTTCGTACTTTAGGCATATCTATCAATATGCACACTACAAACCCCTATAGCAAGGTATACAGCACCACTATGATAAATCCCAGTCAACGTAAAATGTGCATCCAACAGGAATCAAACCTACAATTTTGCCCGATATCTTGTCCTCGTGGACAGAAGAAAGAACACTTGCCTTATGTTGCTGTAGCTAGAATGCCCAAATGAAGCTATCGAGATAGGAATTAGGAGCAGCTTTTCCCCTCGTGTCACCAGTTCAAATTTGGTTCATGACACATGATTAATTTGTATCCAAATTAACCCCGTATTGATTGAAATGAATTCCTAAAGAAAAAAAGAAGAAATACACATACATACATACATACATACATACATACATACATACATACACGACGGATATTATAACATGAGTAATCTTGCATTCTCGTAAAATGAAATTGTTCTCGTTTGAACAATTTACTACACATATTACGTACCCTAATTTGATAAATAATTTAATTTTAAAATATTATAATTATATAAAAAATATTATCCATAAAACAAATTACATATATAAAAATATTTTTAAATCGCAAAATGATATGAATGGTAATCCGATAACATCATGGTTTAATCATTTAATTTGAAAACGCTAATAATTCATTTGTCGTTATCTTTTTTGCCTTTAATATTTTTTTAATTTTTTATTACTAAAATAAATAAATTAAATGACAGATGTCATTTGACCTTATCTTGTTAATAGAATAAGCAAAGGCAAGATAACGAGAGTTTGTAATTTTTTAACGAATATTCTTACAGGATAATGAATATTATATTAATTCACTAAAAAAAATAAAGTGAATTCTTCTTTAAGAGAAAATGACATTAGAGTAGGTTGTCTGATTCCTTTTTTTTATTTATTAAGGTTTTTTTATCTTAAATTTAAAGTCAAATGTATTTCATCATCGATGTTATTTGTAACCCAATTGTGTTATGACATATTGGTTAAGGGGTTGTTTGTTTACCTCTTAATAGTTTCATTAAGAGGTAATCTCTGAATCGTTAAAAGATGAATCTTATTTAACGAAACAAAAGTCTGTTTTTTAATGGTTCTAAAACCATCTAAATGATTTTGTATCTTGAACCTCCTTTAACCATTCAATGTCCTAATTTCGTTGCAAATAATTATATTTTATTTTGCATTATATTATGAAAGCCACTTAATCATTCTGCATCAAACCATTCAACAACTACCAAACAACTCGTAAGTCTTAGATGATATAATGGAAAATATTATCTATACTATATTCGAATCCAAATGGTGTCAAAACCGTTGTGGTCATGGAGGTTTTTTTAACCTTCAATGACTCCAGTCTATTCATGATCGTCTGAATGATTAATCGATGCACATAGATTGGTCCGAAAATTCACAATTACCAAAAATTCTATTTTTATACACATTATTATATCATCCTTCTTTAGGGTTTTAAGTGACTCATCCATATATATTTTTATGCATACCAAGATGAGTAAGAACCCACAAAATGAGAATCCTCTATTTATAAAAAATCATCACATATTTTTTCAATTACTTTTTTTAAAAATGCAACAAATAAATTTATATATGATTTCAGTAAGATTTATTGGATTTTTAAACTGGTTTACATTATAATCGTCTTATCAACTGATTTATACTTAATATTACTAGCTTATCAGTTATTTTACTGAACTCAAACATATAGATAACAAACATAGCCTAACGGATTAATTAAGACCGAATTAACAAACAATTTTCTTTGAATTTTTTGTAGGCACATTTCATATTTCACGCTTCTTGATCTTGAAATACGATGATCACAAAATCAGATTTAAAAAAGAAAGGAAAAAAACGACACTTGCATTCTTCACATAAAACAAGACTCGGAAAAAAGATATTACATCAAGATATCTACAAAGGGCATGAATCTTTCAAGTTTTAAGCGTTGCTTCTGAAAGAACCCAGTGCTTTGAGTGCGGCGGCTCTCAGTACAAACTGGTGGTAGATGGCGGCGGCAAAGGCTCCGATGAACGGTCCAACCCAGAATATCCACTGCAATTTTTAAAATAAAATTAATTCATAATTTATTAAAATAAAATTTTGAATTTCGAATTATTATAAATAAAAAAGAAAAGGATAATACATACTTGGTCATCCCATGCCTTGGAGTCGTTGAAAATGACGGCGGCACCAAAACTTCTCGCCGGGTTAATACCGGTGCCGGTGATCGGAATGGTGGCCAAGTGCACCATGAACACTGCAAATCCTATGGGCAGTGGTGCCAACACCTTCATATTTGTAGTTACAGTATTAGTGTATTTTCCACATTTTTTTTATTTTTAAATAACTAGAAGGGTATTCGCGCAACGCAGCAAAATACATCTTGATTTTAATATTTCGTTTTATTTTTTATCTCAGTCGATGTTATAGTATGGTCTTATGTGATTTTGAAAAAATGATGATTTTTTTATTTTTGAATAAAATATAAATTTAAAGATATCATAAAAATTTGATAAAAATATTCTGATATTAATATCAAATTAACTATTTAAAATTCATAATTTTTTCGGTAATTTTTTAATTCAATTTTTTTATTATGATTTAATTTAGGTTTGATAACGAAATAATTTATATTTGGTTTAATAATATAATTTTTTATAAAGATAATAATTAATTATTTTGTTAAAACTCAATAATTATCCTAATTATATTTTACAATTTTTATATTTTTAAAATGAGATGTTTATCCTCTATTTGATTATGTTTATCCACAGTTAGTTACATAAATTCAAACATGAAGCTTTAATAAATTATACTTATACATAACTTAATTGTAATCTTGAATTTTAAATAATATACATCAATATATAATACTTTATATATAAAAATAGTTTTTAAAAGTTTTTATAAATATTTTATAATATAATATAGATAACTAAAATATTTTTATCCTTTTTTTAATTATCCAATAAGGATGTTTTCGTCATTTCAGGTTTGAAAACCACATCCATCGCTCAAAATGGTCACAGTTTCAAGGTCTTTTTTATATTAATAATTAAATATATAAAATCAATTAATTCGAGTTTTTAACGTGATATTCGAGTTCGAGCTTAATAATTATTAAACTCAAACCCGATATCAAACATACAATAATACTTAATATCAAATATAATAATCAATTAATCTATAATTTTCTACAAAAACACTTATCAATTAATTATAAGTCAAAAAGGTTTTAATTTTTTTAAAAACTCTTTATTATCGGTTTTGCAGTAATATAAATTGTTTATCCAAACACTCAAAAATACTTATTAATAATGAAATATAGGAATAAATCAATAAATTATTTTTATAAACAATCACAAACCTCCCATAAATCTATAGATGTGGTATATGAAACATTTTTTTTTTTGTTGATTATAAGCAGAAAAGAAAAAAGTGCAGAGAAGAGCATGAGATGATAAGGTGCTTACAGGAACATGGGAGTCTCGTGCACTCCTCTTGGGATCGGTAGCCGAGAAGACGGTGTAAACCAGGACGAAGGTGCCGATAATCTCAGCACCGAGTCCGGTTCCTTTGTTGTAACCGTCGGCCAACGTGTTGGCACCACCGCCGTACCGGTTGTAGTATGAGCTTTGGAAAGCTTTCACCAAACCTACACCACAAATTGCTCCCAAGCACTGTGCTATCATGTACCCTACCGCCCTAATCAGCGACACCTTTCTCGCCAAAAACAATCCGAACGTCACCGCCGGATTAATGTGTCCTCCTGCCGGATTTTACCACCGATCGACCAGTTAGTACTTTCATCAGCACTTTTTAAGCAAAAATTAAGCGAAATAAGGTTGAGAATTGAGTAGCTATGGCGGATCTATCACTTATGATGTTAATTGATGTACTTACCGGAGATACCGGCGGTGCAGTAAACGAGGATGAAGATCATGCCACCGAAGGCCCAAGCGATGCCGAGGATACCAACGCCGCCGCACTGATCGGTGTCCAAATCAGGATCGGTCTGGCTTTTGTATCCGATGACAGTTAATACGGTGACGTAGAGGAAAAGGAGAGTGGCGACGAACTCGGCGATGAGTGCTCGGTAGAAGGACCATTTGGTGAGTTCCTCGGCGTCGAAGAAAGGGGCAGGAGGTGGATCGTGGTAGTCCTTGGCGGCGTATTCGGTTCCGGCGTGGTGTTCCGCCACCTCAACGTCTTTAGTCATGGTGTTTGTTGCAGAGAGAAAGCGATGGGAGAAAGTGGGAAGTGATAATGGGTTGTGAGTGAAGTATGTGGTGTCAGATGATTGGTATTTATTGAGCAACACCTCAATCATTAAGACTCCATTATTGGTGGCTTAACATATTTTACTTTCTATTATAATTAATCTCAAAAATTGTATCTTCTAGTGTCTGATTAGTTTGAGTTTGGTTCTGAAGTTTAAAAGTATCATAAGGTCATAGGTTCAAATTTAAGGAGGAATAAAAATTCTCTTATGGCCACAAAGATTCAAATGCAGTTACTCCGGGCTACCTGCAAAATAGATGGTCGTCCTAGGATTAGTCGACTCGCATAACGAGTTGAATATTTAGGTTAATAAAAAACTTTATTTAAATATAAAGTATCTCATGCGTTAGATTCCAGATCTTTTGCTAGCTTCAGCCGTTGAGAAAACCAGAAGATATCCTCACATTGAGATCTTAGAAGACGGGTTCTGTATTAAATCTGTTTGGATCGCTCGTAGTCAGCTTTACCCAAAATTTTCGATATATATATATATAGGTGGAGGTTCAAACGAGAACCCCTGTGATTTATGAGAACGCTAGAACAACCCAATAACCTCAAACTTTTTTAATTAATAAATTAACTTTTATTATATATAAATAATTTAATAAGGACAATAATGTAATTAAGTAATTTTTATAATTTTWATTTTATTTTAATTAACCATAATTATCTTTTCACGTTCCACGTTTTACTCTTGGTAGTTATCTTATTCTTCTCGTTAACATCTTTTCTTCATATCACACCTCTATCACATAAGTATCACACTCATATCATATGATTATCACACTCATATTATATGATTACACCAAAATTTGAACTTATCAACCAAAACGATAACTCAAGTGATGTATAACAGTGATTATCACACCCTTATCACATGATTATCACAACCAAATCACATGATGACACCAAAATTTTAACTTATCAACCAAAACGTTAACCCAAGTGATGTATAATGGTGATTATCACACCCCTATCATATGATTACACCAAAATTTTAACTTATTAACCAAAACGATAACCCAAGTGATGTACAATGGTGATTATCACACCCCTATCACATGATTATCACACCCATATCACATGATTATCACACCTAGTATAATCTTAACCTATTTCGTAACCGTTTTACTAGATAATGATAATAATGAGTGTTTAAAAGATAATGATTGTGTTTAAAAGATTTGACGATATCATTTCCATTATTACCCTTTTAATTTTAAATTTTTTTGAATCTTTTTAAATTTAAATTTAAATTTTAAAAATCTTTTAATTTTATTTTTAATCACAATATGAGGTTATTGGGTTGTTCTTGCGTTCTCGTAAATCACAGGGGTTCTCGTTTGAACTCTTCCCTATATATATATATATATATATATATATATATTTGTTGATGCGAAATTTATTTAAATTAAAATAGAAAATTAATGTGATTTAATATTAGAAAAAAATTGAAATTTATAAAGTATTATGCAATGTAATATGACTGTGATTGTATTTAAATGTATTTAACAGTTCCTTAACAATTAGTTCTGTAGGCATGAAGAGTTCACCCGTTAGATTTGAAGGTGCTCCGAGATATTAAAAAATATAAATAACGTCAAGCAAAAACCGGGAAAAGAATACATTGAAATCAACCAAAAAATCCAAAAAAAAAAAAAATTAAAATCAACTAATAAAAAAATAGGAAATAAACAGAAATACCAATTGAAAGAATAAATTCAATTAAAAGTTTTTGATTCATTTATTATTATAGACAACATTAACAAGCATAAAGTTATGGAGGTTCAAATGCGGTGATTCCGGACTATCTGTAAAGTATGTGGTCGTCCTTGGATTAGTCGGCTCGCATGACGGGTTGGATATCCAGGTTAATCAGAAACAAGCATAAAATCACAACTGTATAAAAAGAAAATTGATTTCTCAACACTCTGTAAATCAACCAAAAAACCGGGAAAAAAAAATCACTCAAAATGAACCGAAAAACTTAAAAATCCCTCGAAAGGGTGGAATTCGGCTAAGAGTACGCCGGACGACTTTGCAGGCCTCTAATCCATCTTAAAAATATACCCACTCGATAAAACTGGGGTACGCCAAAGGAGAACACATTTATTTTACGGAAACACAAGTCGTATGTGATAATACACTAGAGAGACACACGGTATTGCGTAGATAACTTGATGTTGTCCGCATCTCTGATTTAGTATTAAATGTGATGGACTACGATATCACATTTGATTGGTTATAATAAAATGTCTTTGCCTTTCTCGTAAAACAAAAAATGTTATCTTTTTAATCTTCCCTAGTTATATAATACATTATTAGTATTCTAAATTGTAAACTTATGGGATGTTTGATTAGAGGTATTAAACAGTAATCAATAAAAATGAAAATAAAATAGACTGTTTTTGTTTTTATGTAATATAACAGACTCATTCCTCCAGAAGCCCAAATTTTCATTACAGGTTAAATTAAGGGGAATGAAAATTCATTCCCGTTTTTCATTTTATAGCATTTTCATTTATTTGTCTGAACCGAACACTTATTTAATTTCAATAAAATAAAGTAAACGTTTTATGATTTAAAACTATTTGCCGCCCACAAATAAGAAAAAACACTAATTCGTCATTTTCATGGTCCCCCAAATCGAGCTAACGGCTCTTTTTCCATCACATTTATATTTGGATTTATCGTCGTATTTATTAATTTGCAAAATATTTATTTATTTTTAAATCTTACATTAAAACTGAAATAAATAAATAAAATCAAATAACCCAATTGTCAAAATTTGAGTATAAAAATTATTTACTGATTAAAATAATAATTTGTTTGAATAAAAATATCAAATTTTATAAAAAATTGGATTTTTGTTATAGGTGTATAGTTTTTTTTATTAACTTAGATATCCAACCCGCTATGCGAACCGACTAATCCCAGGACGACCACCTGCTTTGCAGATAGTTTGCAGTCACCGCATTTGAACATATGTAGCCACAAGGGGATTTTTATTCCTTCTTGGATTTAAACCTAGGACCTCCTCCTGGTACTTTTGATCTTTAAAGTCAAACTCAAACCAATCAGACATCACCCTTGTATAGTTGTTATCATAAGATATATAAACCACAAGGGTGATATTGAACTTGAGTTCAAAAGTGTCTGAAAGTCTTAGGTTCAAATCCAAAGAGAAAATAAAAATCTCTATGTGGCCACGGAGGTTTGAATACGGTGACTCCGAGCTACCCGCAAAGCAGGTGGTCGCCCTGGGATTAGTCGGCTCTCATAGCGGATTGGATATTCAGGTTAATAGAAAAAAGATACATAATCAATTCAAAGGGATTAAAGATAAACGTTCATATTTAGGGTGTGCATCCAAAAAAATTGATGTTTACTCTTGAAAATTTCATGATATGTGTAAGTGATATGTCATATGTTCATGATGTTAACAAGACAATACTTTGAACAAGACAAATCAAGATGTGCACAGAGATAACACTATGAGGTGAAAATACAATAGAAAATAAACCCAACTGTTTAAATAACTTTCAAACTCATTGTATTTTACATAAATGTACTGTTTGTGTATGTATATGTATGTATATATGAATACAAATACAGGGCTTTAATCTCACATGTCTGTTATTAGGGGTGAGTATAGGCGGGTACCCGTCCTTTTTGACAGGAACCGGAACCGGCGGTTCTTGAGATATTAAAACAGGAACCGGAACCGGTTAGAGCGGTTCTTAAATTTTTGGAACCGGAACCGATTCCGGTTCCGGGTACCCGCTTCCTAAAATATTAAAATTTTATTGTTTAGAAATAAAAAATAAAACATTACCAAAACACTAAATAAATAAGCAAGAATACAAATTACACAAAATAATTGTTACAAATATTGTTTAACGATTACAAACTATAATAGACTAATAGAAAATATTCAAAGTTTAACGATTACATATTATAATGGTAAATGTTCAAAGTTTAACGATTGCATACTATGAATCCAAGTGAATACACAATTTGAAAAAATACGAATCATTTTATATGGAGAATTTAGATGAATAATGAAAATGACGACGTGCTTTCAAGATGTAAACCTAATATAAATTTGGTATTAAAAAATAATTATTATTTTTTTACTTGAAAAATACCGGGTACTCGGCGGGTAACGGTTCCGAAAAATTGAGAACCGGAACCATTCTCAATTGGTTCCGTATTTTAGGAACCGGAACCGGAACCACTCATATCGGTTCCGGTTCCGGAACCGGCAATTCCAAGACGGTTCCGGTTCCATAGCCGGGTACCCGGTTCCGCTGCTCACCCCTATCTGTTATATCTCTTTCAAATGTGACATGCCTAAATCATGCTAGAATTTAGGTCGGATTAAAATCAACGTAGACCACACATAAGAACAGAAAACAAAACACCTATCGATGTCATTGGTCACATGGACGAAATAAGCAACAAAATGTGAGTGGTAGAAAGAAGTTTTGTATCAATAAATCTCTTTTTTTTTAAATCATATTTCTTGAATTCAAATTCTTTAGATTTCTAGTAATATTTTCTTATACACAATTTACCATTCATCAATCAATCCAATTTTGAACAAAAATCATATAATTATAATGCTCAATATCAAATGGCTTTTGACCTAGCAGTATTTGAGTCATTGGCCTTCTAGAAGGTCAAGAGTTTAAATTAGGGGTGAAAAAAGAATAACTCAACCTAAACCTAACCCAGAATTAGCATGTTGTGTTGAGATTTTCAACCCACTTAAATAAATGGGTCAATCCATCCAACCCATTTAAATAAATGGGTTTGTGTTGGGTTGAATTTTTCGACCTATTTTCAATCGATTTATAACTCGTTTTCAACCCGTTTTCAACTTATTTAAAATATTATATAATTTTATTTTATTCTTAGTATTATATCTAGTATTCTAATTTTCAATTTTGTTTTATTTTTAATTAAAAATTCTATCATCGTGAGATGAAA